GGGGGCCCATACACACACCCCACTTTTCAGAGAAGAGGGACACAGGAAGCAGGGGGGCTTAAGTCTGTAGAGTGTGTGGGTATCATCGCGGTCACCGGCCACGGGGCCACGGGGCCACGGGGCCACGGGGCCCGAGCGGCATTTCACTGTGAAGTTGGTCACTGTCACCCTACCTTGCAGCTGAGGAAAATGAAACTAAACAGCTGAGATGACACCCGCCCAGGTGGACTCCAAAGTTCACTTCCTTCAGATTCTGCACCCCCACCCCACTCGCCCCAGAGGATCTGGGCCTGCTCGGCCACAGGCATGGGGAGTCCTGCCCCTGGGTTCCCAGAAGGCAGTGGGAAGCAGGCCTCGGCTGCTGCAGGGACCTCGGGTGGCAGCCTCGGAAGCTGCTGATACTCTGGCTCCAAGCAGTGCCGGGGACTGCCCACCCCCCCAAGCAGGGCTGGGAACTGCCCCCTGCCCGTCTTGGTGGGGAACCTCACAGTTTGCCGGATTATTTCCTACCCGTTTGTCTTGTTGTATCCTCACAACACCCTGGGCAGGGGTAAGAAGAGGGGGCTGAGAGGGGATGCCACCCCTTTCACAGAGGTGGAATGGGGGACTCAGAGGGGCTGAGTAATTTGCCAGAGGTCACACAGCATTGAGGAGAAAGGGCCAGGACTCAAACCCAAACCAGTTTCCAATTTGGGGAGTGGTCTTTCCTGGCCCCTTCCCCCCCTAAATCCGGGACGCCCACTCTCATCTTCTGGAAATGAAGGGCATGGGGTGGAGCGTGGCCAGGCCAGGCTGGGGCCCCTGTTTTCATTGCAGCCCTTTCCATGGTCCACAGCTGGGCTCGTGCCGGGCACGCAGTAGGCGCTCAATCAAGGGCAGTGAATGAATTCCTGTTAGCTCTACAGTCGGGCTAGGGCGGGCAGGGACTTCCGTGGGGCTCTGACGCCCTCTGCTGGCGTCGGCACAGGGACCACAGGTGGCAGCCTAGAGGGCCTGAGCCTCCAGTCTCCAGCCACTGCTGGTGGAGTTCCAGCCAAGTGGAAGTTCTGCCTCAGTTTACCCACAGGGGAGAGAAGGGCACCGGTGAGCTCCAGCTGCATTCTGACCCCAGCAAGCACCAGTTAACGCTGGTAATAACCGCAGCGCGTTTCCCGAGCCCATACTGGGCGCGGGCGCCGTGCTGAGCAAACCCTCTCGTCCGGTCTGCACGAGAATCGTGTGAAACTCTCCAATCTGTCAAAATATTGGACCCACAGTAACAAACACGTTCTACATCGCACAGGCACACAAGACCGAAACAAAGGTTTCACGAAACAACACTTAATCTTACCACAGGCAACACGCTCGCATGGTCTCTAGTCTATTCTGCTTTCGTTACAAACGGTGCTCGGCCTCAGGGCTCCCGCCCCCAGGAGTTATTTCTACTTATACCCACGTTCATGTGAACCGGGTTATAAACCATAAGAGAAAAAGAGAAAAACCACCCAAGAGGCCAACAACAGGAGGCCTACCAAATCGCTGGGTGTAACCGCACGGTGGAATATTATGCAGCCCAGTAAAAGAACAGGGTACTGACTGGGGACATTTCAGAATATATTGTTAAGTGCCAAAGGCAAAACACGAAACAGATCGTGAGATGGGGTGAGTAAGGTGTTCTTATTGGTTTGTAGCTACGTAAGCATATACAAGAAATGAATCAAAGTGGTTTCCGGCCCACTTGGAAGTTTCCGGAACCTTTTCCGATAGCTAGCTCTCGGAGGTCCGGGGGATCAGGGGCAGAATTAGGACTGAAACTCTCATTCTTTCTCTATCAGTTTGCTTGAACGGTGTAAGTAAATGCTAAAATGTAAGAGGCAAGAGGCGGCGGTTGTAGCCCTAGGGGCCGGCGCCCTGGGTGCCCGGCAGGCCCGCGGTGCTCGCTTACCCAGCGCCGCTACGATGAGGAAGAAAGAGGCGGCCACGAGGAAGGCCACGTCGGGCCTGGTGTAGGACAGCAGCTTCTGCAGCGTGGCCCCGGACGCCTGCTCCGGCAGCGGCCGGTCCTCCCCGGGGAAGCCCTCGGCCTCGGCCTCGGCACCTGCCCCCGGCTCCAGGGCCTTGGTGCTCGGCTGCACCGTGGACAGAAGCCACCAGAGCAGGAAGGAGGCGGTGAGCGAGATGTAGGTCCACACGAAGAGGGCCCAGAACCACGGGTCCCGGACCGGCTTGCGGACCTCGGAGAAGAGCAGCAGCTTCACCATCGCGTAGATGCCCGCAAAGAGGCACACGAGCGCCGTGACCATCCACGAGGCCCGCAGCCGCCGCGGCCCCAGGGCGCTGTTCTTGGCCACGCCGATGGTGGCCCCCAGCAGCAGGCAGCTGCGGTACAGGCAGGCCGCCCACAGGTCCAGCACCGAGTCGAAGATGTTGAAGTGGCGGATGTCCTCCAGCAGGCTGCGGTCCGGGTGGCTGAAGGCGTAGATGGCGGTGGTGATGCCGATGTCCGTGGTCATGAAGGCCAGGGTCACCACCACCGCCTTCCACAGCTGCATCCTGCTGGCTGGCGGCGGGCAGGCACCGGGGAAGGTGGGGCAGGCTCTAGCTCACGGGGGGCGAAGCCATCGTCTGCGGGGCAAGGCCAGACCTGTCAGGGCAAAAAGGGCGAGGGGGTCGGGTTCGCTACAGGCTGGCTGTGTGACCTTGAGCAAGTCACTTGGCATCTCTGAGCCTCAGTTTCCTCATCTGTAAAATGGCAAGAGAACTGGTTTCACTGGGGTGTTGTGAAGTTTCCACTCATTCAAGGAGTAGCTACTGAGCGCCCTCTATGGGCCACACTCTGTTCTTTAACAACGAACAAAAATAACAGAGATCCCTGCTCTTGTGGAGAGGACACATTCATGCTAGAAATAGATACTAAACAGAATAAATAAATGACATAGTATGTTAGAGATAGGGTTGGGGGCGGGGAGAGGGGGGTAGGAGAGGGAGGGCCATGGGGTGAGGGCGGTTTTATATAGGGGGTGCCAGCCAGGGAGTACTGTGCTGTGAAGGTAAATCTTGAGCACGACTGAAAGAGGTGAGGGAGTCCACCCCGTGGGCATCTGGGGGGAAAGCATTTTGGATGGGTGGAACAGATAGCTCAAGAGCCCTGAGGCAGGACTGTGCCCATGTGCTTGAGGGACGTGAAGAGGACCCATGCGGTCAGAGAGGTGAGGGGGCAGGGATCTGGAGGACCCTGCAGATGAAGTTGAGATGAGCAGAGTGCAATAAGTGGTCCCTGTTTCTGTTATAAATATTGTTACTGTTAACTTGGAAAGCAAGGTACAGAAAGGCAAAAGCATGTGCCCTATATCATTCTGCCAACAGAGGCCCAAGCCAGGACCCGAGCCTGTGTGGGAGGGATCCCAGCAGCTCACTCAAGCCCTGGGCCGCCTGCCTGGCACATGGCAGGCGCCCAATAACTACAGGCCAAGGTAACTTGCACAGCTCTTCCCACGAGCCCCGCCCTGTACATCACCAGGCGCTTTACATGTATTCGCTTATTTAATTCTCCTGATGACTTTTCGAGATGTAAGCTGTCGTCATCCCCATTTAGCAGGTGGAGAAGCCGAGGCCCAGAGAAGTCACGAACTTGCCCAAGGTCACACAGCTGGTGAGCAGCAGAGCTGGGACTGTCTGGCTCCAGAGTCTGGCCTCTAAACTAAGCTAGGATGCTCATCGATGCTTTCAGGGAGTGCTTGTCTAAGGAAAACAGAGTCTATACCAGAGGGGGCTCTGCCAAGTGGAGCTGGTAACAGTGATGACAACAATGATGGTGACAATAATGGTAATGACAGCTGATGCTTACTGAGGTTAGTGTTCTAAGGAATGTGCAGGCATTAATCCTCAGGAGCATCCTATTACTATCCTCACTGTATAGCTGAGAAAGCTGAGACACAGAGAGGTTAAGCAACCTGCCTCAGGTCACAGAGCTAAGAAGCGGCAGATCTGGATGCGAACCCAGGCCTTCGAGTTCCAGAGTCTGTGCTCTCAACTGCAAAGCCCTGATCCTTCAAAACACCCTCTCCTACTGATGCTGAGGAGGGGTTTGAGGTGCTGAGGGGACCCAGGGGCGTGATGGTCCCAAGCCTGGGCTCTGCCTGCACACCCGGTACTCCAGGCCAGCTCAAGTCTCTGGGGAAGGTGGTTACCTTGTCAGCAGCTGCCACTCCAAAGGAAGCCAGGGCTGGGTGGGACCAAAGGGGTGGGGACAAGGGAGCGACACCCCCCTGCCAGGCCCTTGCTCCGCCCCCAGCCCTAGCTGGGCTGCTGGTTTAGCTCCTGCCTGCTGCAATGCAGAGGCCTCGGGGAGCCAGTGAGTGGGTGAGCGTGAGTCGAAGCCCAGGGAGGGATGCTGCTGGCCTGGCGCCCCACCAGGCCTCCCAGCCAAGCACTGTCGGCTGTACAGGCCCTGCCAGCCACGTTGATGCTGCTCCCCTCTTGGTGGGCACAGGGAGTCCCTCTCAGCCCCCAGAAAGGATCTGGGGTTCAGAAGTGGGGCCCGAGGCAGATCTGCCAGAGACCAGCCCAGAGGCTTGGCCAGCTCTCCCTGTCTCCACTCCTAGTCATTGGGGGACCTCCCTCCTGACACCCCTCTGCTTTGGGTAATGTCAACCCCATGGGACAGCCACCTACCCAGGAGACCCGGTTTATCTTCACCAAAATAAACAAAATTTTGCACTCCAGCATCAGAGGCTATCTGGACCATGTTTTACAGATGGGGAAACTGAGGTTCAGACAGGGAGGTGGCGAAGTCTGCCTACGGTCACCCAGCAAGCGGGAGGCAGAGCAGTGACAGCCCGTGGTCCCCAGCTCCCGAGTACCGGCTCCTTCTAGTCCAGGCCCCGATGGGGCAGAGTCCAGCTCGGGTTGGGTTACAGCCCTGGGTGGGGACAGGCCACTGTGCTGTTCTTCAAGTTACCGAGGGGTGGGGTGAAGCGGACAAGACCACCAGCCACAACCGTGTGGCGGGGAGTCAGGGCCACAGGGCTGCTTGGAGGTGTGTCCCTCCTCCTGCCTGAGCTGGAGGACTTGGCCAGGTGCAGCTGGAGGGCACGTCGTGTACATGGCCCGAGGGACAAGGGGAAGGTGGTGGACAGAGGCCAGGGCAGACACCGCCCAGGGCTAGCATGGCCCAGGAAGACAGGGGCACCTCGCCCTGACCTCAGACACAGGGTTAGCAAGGGGCCCCACCCCACGGAGGTCCTGCCAGTCAAAGGGTTTTCTTTCCAGTAGAAGAAATGGTGGTTGGGGCACCTCCAGCTGTCGGGCAAGTCTGGGACAGCCGGGAGATAATAAATGATTACTATTCACCCACAACAGCCACTGTTTACGGGCTGTTACTAAGTGCTGCGTGCCTGCGCCTCCCTTCTCAGCTCATCCTTGCCACCACCCCGGGGCAGGTGAGCAGGCTGGTGGGCCGGAGGTCCTCACAGTCATCCCCATTTTTCAGATCAGGGGACTGAGGCTCAGGGAAGTTAAGTGACATGCAGAGATTAGGCAAAGGCAGGACTGGAACCAACACTTCCCTCTCCAGGTGGGTCCTTTCCCAGGGACCGAAAGAACAGGGTCCTGAGGGACCTGGGTGGCCCAGGCAGCTCAGCTCATCCCTAACCTGGTGAACGTTTCACCCCAGTGGCCATCCGCTGCCCAGCGGTGAAAAGGCCCGTTCGCTGCTCGGTGGACCCTGGCTGGCTGAGGCCAGGTCTGTGGAGTGGTGTCCCCGCGGGGTCTCAGGACACATGGCCAGCGCTGGGCTGGGTCCACATTGTTCCATCCTGACTCCCACCACTGCTGAGCCCACCGCCTCCCATGCTGGGACTCAAAAGTTGGTTCAGGTGATCGTGGCTCTGGGCGAGGCAAACTGAGGAGCTGCCGTGGCCTTTCCACAACCCTCCTCTTGTCACCTGGCATTTGTTCCATCTGGAGAGGGGAATGGAGGTCAACCATCACCAAGGGGTGGAACAGAGGGCAGGGAGTCCTGTCAGACCAGCTTAAAGCTGTCTTACTGAAGATCAGGTCTGGGGAGAGGGCCCCCTGTTTTCACAGAGGCCCAGAAACAAGGGAGGGTCCCAGGAACCCACAGGCCTAACTCCAGGGTGAATGCATGAGGCCGCAGGGGGCTGGGGAGACTGAGGGAAGGGGTGCGCTAAGGCGAGCGGGCCCAGGAGCCCCAGGCGCTCAGGGTGCGTGGGCAGGTCCCGCTGTGTGGGGCGGGGAGCCTGGGAAGACAAGCCAGTGGATCCTGGGGCGACAACAGCCACCCCAGGATCCTCCCCAGAGGCATTCCCACCGTTTCCCAAGAGGCAGTGGCACCTGCGGGGTTAAAAAAAATAATAATGCAACATCTACCCTGCGGGCGTGGAAAGGATGCTGCAGGGATGGGGGGCTGGGGCCTGCGGGCGCGGGGGCACCGGGGCGGAGGCCAGGAAGGCTCTCTGGAGGCTCCCACCTCCCACGGAGATGCCTGCTGCACGCCCGGGCAAGGGGCACCCAGACGCCCCGGGCCTGCGCCCTGCCTGGCACCCCAGCCTGGAGCGCACCCGCGTCCGGGGCCCCGGGCGCCGCGCTCTTACCTGTTACCTAACGTGGCACCAGGTAAGCCGTGAGGAGGGGCCGCAGCGAACTCGGGTCGTCGGGGCGCCGGCTCCGCGCCGCCCGGTGGAAACTGCGCT